GGAATGGTCAAGGGACCATATTAGGAGTGAAAACGAGTTGTTTATTACATATTTTTGAGTTACATCATATGGTGGTGAACTAAAAAGATTTATATTGGCAACTATACCACATAACGCTATTTGATATTGAAAATTTGCTCATTTAGAGGTCAATAAAAGCAATGATCAGCCCGAAGGGATGTAAGTGTAATTGCATGGTCAGTGGGGTTTAATTAATTTGTTATCATTACATGATAATTATCTGTTCTGTTATCCTACTTAGAGCAGCTTTGGACAAAGAGGCCTTCTGGGTATAAGGACTGAGGCAAGATGAGAGTGGAAACATACATAACGACCGTTAATAAACATGTTTATTCAAATCAAATTAGGCCACACTCTAAAAACTTTTACCATGATTTACTTTGTCTTTCTTTCTTTTTTTTCTTCTTTTTTTTGGTGAAACATTTTTACACCTAAAAATATTGATTCAATTTTAAAGCAGTAATTACATACACTGTAGGAACTGATTAAATGTAAGTTAAAAAAAAGTTGACCTGAGTAATTTGTTTACATTAACAAATACAATTGGGTAGAAATAATTGGAGGAAAACATTTAAAAACAAAGTTTATGAGTAATATTAACTGTTTTAATTTATGATTAACATTAACTTTTTTTATTTTGTCAAAACCTTTGTAAAAATATTCCATACAACCACCGTTTTCACAGTGGATATAGTGGGATTTGGCAGGTGTGTGAACCCTTGAACTTTGTGTGGGTGCAACAGAAAAAAAAAATGACTCACCGTAAGACACTATATTGACTATCAAGTTATAGAAATACATTTTGGGACAAGAGTGTCACAATTGCACCAAGTACCACAATCCTGATTTAGAAACACTGTGGAAACGCGTCAAAGCATTTTCAGGTACAAATATGTAGCGGCATTTTCACACGTATTTTGAATGAATATTTCATGTCGATAAACAATGGTTAAATAATATTAAAATGTATATCTTTGTAAGACTGCCGACCCTTATAGAACAGTGGCACGGGAAAACAAATGTCCGGCAAATATCGAACCTAAAACTAACTTTACTGCGCTCAACCAGCATGAGTGCATTTCACGCATTTGTAATCGCTATCGTTTAGTGAGAAGGAGAGGAAGGACCTTGTCTGCATGGGTGTACCGGCCTAGATGTCCTCTAATCAGACCGCAAATAAAGTTAGGAAGCGTGTTTGTGAAGGCGGGGCCAGGGGGTGATATTATGTTTTGATTTGACGCGAAAGGACTACTTCAGAAGGAATTACAGGCTGCTGCAATTTGACAGTGCACGCAAAAATTTTTTTTATATTAGCCTGCCATTGCGCTATTATTGATATTAATGAATTCTATTTATTTGAGCTGCCAGAACTCAGTTCCAGGCCGTTCCGGCCCACTTTAACCCCTGGTTATATATCACATTGGCCTTTATTGTTGATCAGTACAGCAATAGCATATTTTATACATATTCACCCACACTTTCCTGGGTGGCCCAAAGCACACAAATAACTGTTCTGATTTCCTCCACAGGGCGGCTCTGTGGACGTAAGCGTCTAACGCCCTCACTGGGCAGAGTAAATTAAGTTTCTCCTGGTCTGACGACAGAAATGGAGGATGACAGAAAGCCTGCAGAACTGTAGATCTAAAAACATTTGTAGGGACCTTCGGGACGTAACCTGGCCTGGGGTATAGAAAAGCCTTAACCATACCAGAAAATTCCAGGCACGAGGGTGCAACCGACAGAGCCTGCAAATCTCTGATTCTCTTGAGTAAGGAGATAGCAAGAAGGAAGATAGATTTTAGAGTGAGAAACTTCTCAGGAACTTCTTCGATAATTTCAAAAGGAGCTAGGGAAAGACCTTCTAATCTAATACAATGGCCAGATCCCAGGTCGGCACCCTTGTACGAACTGCTGGCATCAGCCTCAACGAGCCACGAAGGAAACGAGTTATAAGCCAGGGTCTCCCAAGAGAAACTCCACTGAAAGGGAAGTGGTAAGCAGCCAGTGCCATCACATACACCTTTAGTGTGGAGAGGGATAACCCTGTGGAAAAACGCTCCTGCAGGAATTCCAGCACTGCACCCACTGGGCAGTTAACTGGGTCCTGCAGGTGTTCTCCACACCAAGAAGTAAAAAGTTTCCACTTCAAGGCATAAAGCTTCCTCGTGGATGGAGCTCTGGAGTGGAGGATGGTCTCGACAACCTCGGCCCCTCAGAGGCCAAGCCCGCAGTTTCCACAATTCTGTTCAGCTCCAAACGAGAGCCGACCAGGAGAGAAATAAGGTCCGCAAACCATACTTGGGCTGGCCAGAACGGGGCTACTAGTAGTAGGCTGACCCCGTTCCGGCAAACCCTCTCCAGAACTCCTGGTAGCAGAGCAATCAGGGGAAAGGCGTACAGAGGTGACCCTAGCCCCGCCTGAGAGAGTAGATCCCTCCTGACCGAGAGCTCCAAAGGAGAGCCATCCAGGAGAGAAATTAGGTCTGCAATCCATACTCGGGCCGGCCAGAACGGGCCTACTAGTAGTAGGCTGACTCCATCCCGGCGAACCCTCTCCAGAACTCCTGGTAGCAGAGCAATCGGGGGAAAGGTGTACAGACGTGACCTCGGCCACGGCTGCACCATAGTGTCCAACACCAGAAGGGCTGGATGACTGAAGGAGAACCACAGATGACAGTGCGTTGTCTCCCTGGAAACTAAACCAAAGGAGCTCCACCACCTCGGGGTGGAGCCTCCATTCCCCCGGCCTCAGCCCCTGCCTCGACAGGGAGTCTGCTACCACTTTCAAATACCCAGGATGATACATTGCTCTCAGTGATAGTAGCTTCCCTTGGGACTACTGTAGGATCTGACGGGCCAACTTGTAAAGTGGACTCGACCGCAGGGCCCCCTGATGATTTATATAAGAGACCACTGACGTTGTCTGACTGAACTAACACATGATGACCTCTCAGGTCTGCTAGGAAGTGTTTCAGAGCCTGGAGTCAATGTGGAAACACATTGGTCAACAGTGGTTGTTTTCTCCACGATTTCAACACCTCGGTGTGGAGATTGTGGAAAAAGGGCAGGCACCGGTGTGGAGGTTGCACTCGTGACGGCAAAAATCTCTCATTCAACTTTGATTTTGATAGAGACTCCTGCCTAGTCACTATCCATTCAATACTGAGTTTCTCAACTGCTCCCTTTAAAACCTCCATCAGCTCATCACTTTCGGGAGTGTTATGTGGCGAGTCACTTTCGGGAGCGTAACGTGAATAGTTGCAGTACTGGTGCCTCGGCCCGAGCGGAAGAAACCGCAGAGCGTGCTTCCGAACCCGGAGCTGAGGCACTGGATCTCACAGGTGAAGGGAGAGATAAGGCTGGGCCCATTTCTAACCCCTACTGAGAGATCCATCTGCGATCCTTACGATAAGCGTCACCGCTCTGCCTCAGCAAAAGCGAGACCCGAACCGTGGGGAGCGCGCACCGAGCCGCTCTCCTCAAAGAGCGCCCGGCGGGAGCGGAGTGTCCTTAATGGCAGACGCTCACAATGCTCACTGTCAGCCCCCTTTAGAGCTGACTGGGCATGCTAAACTCCCAGACAAACAACACAAAGAACATGTGTATCCCCGCCCGTTAGATAGCGCGAGCAGGTTGGAACACACTTCTTAAATTGGTGTTCGCTTGCCATAGTCTCTCTAGTCTTGCGTACGGCTGAAGGTATGGAATTCATAGCAGCTTTCTTTGGCCAAGGCCAAATAAGGCAAACGGCATAAGGCCGTTTTTTTTGACCGACATGTCAAATGACAGTTCGTTTCGTTCAGCGTCACGTTTCGGGGCGTGGAAATGTCCCCACAACAACAGACCGGCGTGCAACAAGTCAGTCAGCATAGAAAATCAAAGGAGAAGAAAACAAGCAGTACTGTATTTTCTGCACTATAAGGCACACTTAAAAGCCTTTAACCTTCTCAAAAAACGACAGTGAACTCGCGTTCGTCTCCATCTTATGCCCGCGAACTCGCGCATATGTCCATCTTATGCCCGCTTTGTCACACGGCCAGTTCAACCTATATATCAAATATAAATCAGGTTGTGTGTGTAAATCACGTGCCTGCTCACGAGTGCTCACTCTTAACAGACACACTGTCCCCGGCGCTACTCGCGCGTCACAGAATGTTCATAATGCGCTCCCCGTTCACAGTAACCGGGTCGTCTCATTCAAAACAGCCAGCTGTTGCTGTCTGCGAGCCGCCGCACATTGAATGCTCACATGAGTCAGGCTGCGAATGTAAGTTACGTGCCCGCCCCAGCGCGCTCACGCCTACTAAATAAACGCCTCACCTCTGGCACTGCGCACTCGCAACATTTCCTTTAGCCTTTAGCACATCTAGTGGATGCATAACGCAAACCCAGTCAAACGTTTGACTGCAGTATCTTATGCGCCTTATAATCCAGCGCGCCCTATATATGAATACTGAATCGGCCAGCTGCGACGTCAGAGTCTGTTGTTTCATGTTTGCCCGCAAACGTGGCTGATATCCCCTTCGCAGTTAGGTACTTCACTTGATCTTCCATAGTAGATAGGAGGGGACATACAACTACGTTTAGCTGATCTTGAGAAATGCTCATTGTCATCACACGTCTGCGCTTTGCTTCCCGGCAGACCGAAAATAAAAGCAAAACTTGCGCCCCCCGGAAATCCGACAAAATTCAACCAATCAGATGATGACTTCTACATTCCTGAAGTGTTTCCAGTTAAGTGTACCATATGCATCAGACGTTTAGCCAACGTTCTGTGGGCGTGACGTCTGAGGCTGAGACTAAAGTCTCTCTAATATAAATTGTTTGTGTGGTGCAAAGTATGTATGGACAGACAATATTCACACTGAGACAGATTTACATATAAAGCTTACTGAAGGCACAGAAGCTTGTTGTTTGTGGGGTTCTTTATGTAGCCTGTGGGTTTGAGACGTTCTGTGTTTATCTCTCTCATCTCCCCGTGTTGCTGCGGTAGCTAATGTGGGTGGGAGTGGTTGGAAATTGAGAGCAGGCAGGTATATAGGCACCTGGGGTCCTCATGCCGGTAGCAAAACATTGTAGCTAGCTGTTAATGGGTCGGAGTGCAGCAGTATTCCGGGGTGCGGTGTTTAGCGCAAGGTATGTCCAAACTATCTGTGTTGTATGACTATAATGGCTATTTGGGTTCAGTGCACTAAGGCGATCTCTTTTTCTTACTACTGGGTTAAGGGATTGCGAGTGACGACCAACAGCGCTATGGTTTGTGTTTATGCTCCCGAAACATGCTGGAATGTTTGGATTGATGAACACAGAGGAGGTACATTTAAATCTAGCTGGGTTAACGCATACCTGCTTGTCTAGTGTTTTGGATTGTAATGGGTTGTTCTGTTCGCCAGCGTTTTTGTGACCCTGGTGAGATTGTGCAGCTGCAAAACACTGTCTGCCCATACGATTGCTAGCCGGCCGGCAGGTATGTAAGGATTATGATTATTATGTGTGTGCGGTAAAAAGGAAAATGTGTGTTTAGTAGCTTTATGTAAATAGCCTGACTGATAATGACTTCATGGTTGGGCGTGTGTGCGTGTGTTTACTAGCTATGTGTAGTAGACTACTGCTTATGAATTGTATGCACACAGAGCACTTAACTGTTTTTTATTTTATTTTAGAAGCTACAGCCAGTCCATTGTCGGCTGCTGTTCTCTTTGAATGTGTATGAATGTGCAGGTGCTGCTTGTTAGACATTTTGTTTGATACTGTTTTTTTTGTTTCTTTTCTTTTTTTCTTTTCCACTAGCCGGTGGGTTGTAAGAGAATTGTGTTGGTGAAACAAAGTGTGACCACCGGCTAGTGTTATTTTTCTTTTTTCTTCTTAGTTTTTGTTGGTGTCTTTCCCTTCCCCAGTAATAGTCTTGGGGTGGATCGGGCCCATAGGAAAGACTAGCGACCAGGTGCTAGCTTAGTTTCCTTCGTGTGGCACCCATTATTGGAACCATTGTGTGTAGTGTAATGCTGTGAGTGTGCACCTCTTAGAAGTGGCTCAAAGAGCATGATTGCTGTGAGTGTGTAAGCGGAGTTTAGGTTTGGCTCTACCGTAAGGGTGTGCTCTAGTTCACGGGTGGTATTGAAACCTAGGCCTGGGTAAACTTGTCCTCCGGTGGCCCGCCCTCCTATGGCTTATCCCTATGTCATGTGATGTATGTTCATGTTATTTATTCACAACCCTAAATGACTCAATTTTAACTTAAATAAAGATTGTATTTTTTTTTGTTAATCCAAGCCTGTGCATGTTTTTTTTGTCCCCTTGCTCTGACTAGTCTTGTCTAAGGGGTGGCGTAGTGGTCACTAGTGTAATTATTACTGCCATTGCGTATGGGGGGGCTACATTTATAGTTTCCTGGTCGATGACGTCACCCGCCTATGATGTTCCGTCACTCCACTGGACTGATTCCATACGTGCTTCATGACGCACAAAACAGGGGCGTTCCCACAGCGTTCGACGCAAGCTCGAAGTTCCCTTGAAAGGGAACTAAAAACAATTTCAATACAGAAAACTGTACACAAAAATATGTGACAAAATTGATGATGAAATTAAATGATTTTATTTTCATTTTCATGGTAACAGTGCATCATCCCTGTCAAATTGAAAAGTAAAATGCAATTGGTGATTTCACGTTTCATTTTCACTACAATCTCGAGGCAAGACGTGAAAAGAAACTGCTTTTTATTAACACTCACGCAATAATAATGACAAAATTCAAATTCAAATGTAAAGTTTATTATTTTCATTTTTTTTTTTTACTGTTTTTGCTTTCGTTTTCATTTTCAAAGACAACCTGTATGCAAATTATATGTTAATGAGTGGGTGGGGCTTGTTCAAGGAACGGGGCTACAGACGCACCTTCCATAAAGCGACGTCGTCGATGCCCCATGTGAATGAGGGTGATTGAGCGAGTGTGAATGTGTGATATGATACGAAGTTATTGAAAGTGTGTCGCTACTCGATCCGTACCGTAAACACGATCTGTGCTGTGTGCATGTGCGAAAACGCGACTCCTTCCTATCTAAATGTCGAAACCATTTACGGCAGTTGTTGTTCGTTACTACACGATCCATATCGTAACAGAAGCCCCTTAACTGACTTTTATTACTTTTAGTTATCCTTTGTCATTTTATTTAATGTTTAGTTATTTTATTTTTACTTTAATTTACTTTCTTCTCCCTAATTTCATGTTATTCTACGTGGTCCGTTTCCTGTTAACACTCATATTTTTGTCAATTCTGTCTTAGCCAGTTATTGTTATCAATTTTACAAACAGATGTGCAGATCAATTTTAAAACAGATCAATTTTAAAAGTGTGGGCAGTATGATGGTAGTAGTGTGTGATCAGCCTCCTCTACAGAAATACTATCGTACTATACTATTGTAATATTTACAATATTACTACATCATGTAATATTACATTTTATTAAGGTTTGTTATACTTATTTCATCATACTTTAACAAATGTCTGCCCTCATGAAAACACACAGGAACACACAGAATAACATTATTTAATTATTAATAAATAAATTCATGCACACCTACCTCCATCCGTCTATCATCCATCCCTCCATCCATCTATCTACCCCTCCATCTATCCCTACATCTATATCCATACCTCCCTCCCTCCACCTTTGGCACTGCTCTGTCCAGTCTCTATGTGCTTACGTAGACAGAACGCAGTGTTTCAGGACCTCAGACCAGCTTTTTGTTTTGGTGAGAAGCTGAAGGGAAAGGCTCTCTCCAAACAAAGTTTTGGCTCATTTTGTAGAACTCGAAGTAGAACTTGATAGGCTTCAAAGCGAAACCCCCATGTCACCATTCACTGACGTAATGTCTTCATTCCCGATACTTTCCCTTTGTTTACTCCTTGTATTAAAATTATGTGTTCCATTATGTTTATATGTCTGGTACTGTGTATGTTTGTAATGGTGTGAAAAAAATGTATAATTCATCAAACTTTGTTAAATAGGTTAGTTCCTTCTCAATCAGATGCAGAGAGAGAGAGATCAAGCAAGGAATGATCCACATTTCATTAAGGTGGGGGAAGTTGGAATGTTAAATCAACACCAGTATTTAATTAAACATATGGCAACCAGCATTTAGTCTTTGTGGTTATCAAAAATTATAATTGCACTACTGCCCTGTACTGCATGAGGTTGATTGGAAAGATGCGTTGTGTTAGTGTTACCGATTTGGTATGAACCCCCTTTCTTTAATTAATGGTATATTCCTCGCGTGTTGCACGCTTCAGTTTGCGGGAAGCACTCTGGAGAGAGGTATGTGTCTCCATTACTGGACAATTCAAACAAGGTTTTAGAGCATATTAAATTGAAGTTATTACGAAATCAGAACGAAATATGGTGGAAATACTGTGACCCTGTTGTTTGTTGAATAGGTGGTTCTCCATGTTTAATATAGTACTTAAACTTTATTGCTTTAAACGTGCGATTGTGTCATATTTCTATGAACGGTATAACACTTTAAGTATCAGTAAATGTGGTTTTCATGGGTATGAGGATGCTTGTTAATGTTGATCTGGGTTTCACTTAATTTCATTTTGATGACATGAGTGGTTAATCCGTGCTGCACCGAGTGAAATGCGCGCCAGTAATCAACAGTGCATTCTGGGTAATGTAGTTCATGATTTAAAACATGTTATGTGTGTTAATAAGCAGCTGAAACTGTGAATTGTTTCTTTGATATTGTAAGTTGCCTGCATATTAGATATATGGGACAATGTACTAACTGAATGATTGCAGATTGTCAATCCAGAACAGCAGATGATTGTAACACTGTCCCATTTTATGCTTGCAGGTATGAGTTGTATTCTTTTGTTTTATTAATTTTCAGAATTCATTAGTAATTGCACAGGAAGATGTTACCACCTGCTGGGCATTGCTGCCTGTCGCACCTCCTCCAGTGCCCATGGGTCAGCTGCAGGGTCATCAGCCAGAAACCACCGTTCACCAACGTTTCGCTCCTTTAATTCTGGAACGTCTCCTGGTGGCGGAGCAGTGACAGGGACGTCTCCCTGTCACCCCCTGCAGCTGATAGCTGTCCTCCCTGCTGCTGTTATCTGGGGTTAGCTGTTCTTCCCCCAACACCTATCTTTCCTCCTCAGCCAGAGCCAAAAGCTACCTTTCTCTGCCTCCTCTGCCAGATCCTTTGTTGCCCTCCTTAGCCTCCTTCCGGTCACTCCTGCTTCCCTCAAGAGGTGTATAGTTGACACCCCAAGGAAACCTCGGCATCCGACCTCCACTGGGTGGACGGTCATCTTCCAGCCAGCCTCCCGGCACTCGGCAGCGAGCTCTGAGTACTTGGCCTTCTTCCGTTCGAAGGCAGCCTCGATACCCTCCTCCAGTGGTACAGTGAGCTCGATGAGGTGCGCTGATCTCGCCTTGGATGACCACACCACTATGTCTGGCCGGAGAGATGTGGTGGTTATCTCCGTGGGGAACCGGAGCTGCTTGTCCAGGTCGACCCTCATGTCCCACTCCTGGTTGGGAGAGAAGGGCCTTGCTGTTTCTCTTGATCTAATGCTTCTCCTTACCCCTCCTTCCGACACAAAGATGGTGGGGTCCTCTGCTGATGGTGGTTGTTTGCTACACTGTCGACACTCCTCAAGTACTTCGGCTAGCTTTCTCAGGACCTGATCGTGGCGCCATCTGTAGCGTCCCTGTGAGAGAGCGACCTTGCAGCCTGCCAAGATGTGCTGGAGACTTGCGTTGGGAGCATTGCAGAGTACACAGGATTCTTCATTCCCAAACCACTGATGGAGGTTTCGAGGGCAGGGAAGTGTGTCGTAGGTTGACCGAATAAGGAAACTAAGTCTTGCCTGTGGGATCTTCCACACCTCTGACCAACTGATGTTCCGGTTCATGATTCCCTCCCAGGTTGTCCAGCTTCCTTGTCGACCCTGCGCCAACGGCCTTGATTTTGTAGCGATCTTCCTCCATCCTCGTCACCTCTGCTACCACCATCTCCTTCCTTTGCTTGCGATTGGCCTTGGACCAAAAGCGTGGCGTCTCTCCCCATCCTAGGCCTGCTCTTCCTACCTGAACTCTGCCCATGATCTCCCGGTGTTGCAGCCGACTGACAGCTTGCTCAACCTCAGTTTGGGCATTCCACTTGCGGCCAGTGGGAACCTTGGCATTTGCGTTCTTTACTGACTCGTCTGTGGACTCCCTCAGCTCGAGAACCAACCTGGTCTTTTCTTGCATGTAGCCCAACTGTATGGACTGCAGTGGCAGCTGCAGCATGTTTTTCCCAAATAGACCGGTTTCAGATAAGCACCGTGGCAACCCCAACCACTTTCGGATGAATGAGTTGGCTTTTCCGTCCATCTTACTTATAGTTGATGAGGGAATCTCACTCATTTTCAGGGGCCACATCACCCTCCTGTAGAGTATAAACTGGTAACACCAGACCTTAAACTTCCCAGGGAGTTGGCTTTGGTCGATCCTTGCCAGTCCGTCAGAGAGCTGCTTCATGACGGTTTTCCCCATCTGTTTGTCAGATAGGTCTGCAGTATACTGCCTCCCCAGGCTTTTGACTGGTTGCTCTGATAGGAGTGGGATATTTTCCCCTCCAATGGCGAAGGTGATATTGTCATTTCTGACTCCTCTCCTGAGGGACAAGCTCCGAGACTTGGAGGGCTTGACCTTCATCCTTGCCCATGACATCAATTCGTCCATCCTCTTCAGCAGTCTTGATGTGCATGCTGCTGTCTGAAGGAGGCTAGTGACATCATCCATGTAACTCCTCAGTGGGGGAAGCCTCTTGCCAGTTGGGAGTTTGATCCCCCCAACCATTTGCCTTGCCCCGATGAGGATTATCTCAAAGGCTGCTACGAACAGTATTGGGGAAATAGTACACCCCATCGCAATTCCTACTTCGAGCCGCTGCCATCCGGTGGTGAATTCCTGGAGGGAAAAACACATCTGCAAGTTGCTAAAGTACTGAGCGACAAAGCTCTTGACGCAGGTGGGCATGTGGAAAAACTCCATAGCATAGTTAATCAGCTGATGTGGAACTGATCCGTACGCGTTGGCAAGATCAAGCCAGATGACATGCAGGTCAGTCTTCTCCCGCTTGGCCTTCTGGATCTGGTCCCAGATCATAGTGGAGTGCTCTACACATCCTGGGAAACCTGGAACTCCTGCCTTCTGGCAGTTGGTGTCAACGTAGCCATTCTTGAGCAGATAGTTGGTCATCCTCCTGGCTAGCAC